GCGAGGCGGGGGGGGGGGCTGCAGAGGCTCTCAAATATAAATGAGGATGGCAGGTGAGCCAATCAGAGCTCTTTCATGTCTCATCCAGCAAGATTCTAAAAATGAGACCTATTAAGGGTCAGGCTGACTGACGAGGCAGACAGAACTGCAAGGGTGGCCGGGCACAGCGGCTTCCCACATCAAAAAACTGAATGGGGCCATGAGCAAGCCCGGCAGGGCTTTTCCGAACACACAGATGAACACTCTGTAAGTGGAAGCAGAACCAGGATAAACCTTGGGGGAAAAATGGTGCACGTCTCTCCTTTTAGGAAAGACAAGGTAAAAGGTAAAGGTAAGGGTTCCGTTGCTCGAAAGCCAGTCGAATCCGACTCTAGGGTTGCGGTGCTCATCTCCATTTCAAAGCCGAAGAGCCAGCACTGTCCGAAGACGTTTCCGTGGTCATGTGGCCGGCATGACTAAAAACCAAGGCGCACGGAACGATGTCACCTTCCCACCGAAGTGGTACCTATTGATCGACTTGCAATTTCTTGCTTTCGAACTGCTAGGTTGGCAGGAGCTGGAACTAGAGACGGGAGCTCACTCCGTCATGCGGCAACCCGGGTCTCGAACTGCTGAACTACCGACCTTCCACAGCCTGCAGTTCAGCGTCTTAACCGCTTGAGCCACCGCAGCTCCATAGGAAGGACGAACCTGCTGTCAAAATCTTGCAGAGCTACACGACTGACATACTTCACGCAATGGGGGCCAGAGGTCTTATTCCACCAAAGAAAAGAAGTGGATCATCTATAGCGCAGGTCCCCAACCTTTTAGAGCCTGTGGGCACCTTTGGAACTCTGACATGGCACACAAAAGGTGGAGCTGGTAACAAAATGGCTGCTGCAGCCGCTTACCGTCAGCCATGCGGCGAAGATCCTTGGACTGTGGGGACAGCTGCTGCCCAAGCAGTTTCTTAAAAAAAATCTGCACGGTCAATAAAATCTCCAATGGGCAATCAGAAGCCTTTCTGGGCAAAAGTGGCCCTGCCTGCTTTCTGAAAACACTTGGTGGAAACCAGGGAAGGGTACCTTGCTGGGGGACCACTCATCGAAAGGTTAGGACTTCACAGCGCTTTCAGACTTACGTTGTACAGGGGGATGGTCTTCATAACTTTGTAGTGTTTTGTAGGGTCCATCTTGTAAAGATGTCTGTCTGTGATAAAAATCGCTCGATCTTCGACTCGGCTGAAGTGGTTTACCTGCAAAGGACCAGATTACCAGAGGGATGGGGTTAAAGTCATTCACTTAAACGTACTTCCACACACATACGCACACAAGAGAGAGAGAGAGAGAGAGAGAGAGAGAGAGAGAGAGAGAGAGAGAGGAGAGAGAGAAAACACGGAATTAAGCAACTTACTTCCAACATTCTTACAGGGAACTAAGGTACTTGCAGATCAAGCTTTAACTGGCCCTGGTATTAAAAGTACTGTTCTTAAAAGTTAACATCAATTATAATTTTTAATGTTCAGAAAATTATTCTAGACATTTTGAATCTAAATGTTAACACCTGAATTATATTTGTTGAACATAATACCACAGGGTTATTCTAGACAAGATGAATATGTATTAGTATATATTGTAACAGCAGCACGTATATTACTGGCTAAAAATTGGAAAACGGAGAAAATACCCTCTAAGGAGGACTTAGCACTCAAACTTTTAGAATTGGCACAAATGGATAATTTGAGTTTAATTTTGCAGGGTAAAGATAATAAAATACAAAATAAAAGATGGATAAGGGTATACAACTGGATAAAATATTCAAAAGTTTAATAATGTGCGGAAAGCAAATAGTTTATAGAATATATACATTAGACTAATAGACTCTAGAAATATATGCAATTGATGTAATTCACAAAATGAAATGTTTGAAAAAATGAAAAATAAACATGTTAAAATTATAATTTTTAATGTACTTCATTTTCTCCCTAATGGGCCCCACAGTGGCTTGGTGTGGTGGTTAAGCGTGGCAGACTCTTTGATTCCCCACTCCTCCACATGCAGCCAGCTGGGCGACATTGGGTCAGTCACAGTTCTCTCAGAGCTGTTCTCTCAAAAGCAGTTCTCAAAAGAGCTCTCTCAGCCCCAGGTGCTAACGCCGAAGGTGAAGAGGAGGGCTATAAATCCAATTCTTCTTCCTCTTCCCCCCCCCCCAACATTCTCCTTCCCAAAGTCACCCAGTGAGTCTCCGTGGTAGAGTCGGGATTTGAACTTCCACGTCCTAGTCTGATACTCTCATCACTATAACACACTGGCTCCAGTATAAAGCAGAACAGAACTGTTGACCCACCGCCTCACTGATGTGGGGATATGGGGACTAGCCTTATAATGGCTGGCCTCTTTTCTCCAAGACCGGAGATAGAGGGTGGCGCTAGGGGGAGAGTTGTCTCAGTGGCTCTCACTTGGATGTGGTGTGCCACAGGGAGCGATTCGCTCCCCAGTGTTATTTAACATCTATATGCACCCCCTTGCCCAGATTATTCAGAGGTATGGCCTGGGTTGGTGTAGTGGTTAAGTGCATGGACTCTAATCTGGGAGAACTGGGTTTGATTCCCCACTCCTCCACTTGCAGCTGCTGGATGACCTTGGGTCAGTCACAAGTTCTCTCACAAGCAGTTCTCTCAGCCCCACCTACCTCACAGTCTGAGACTGCAGGAGGGAAGAGCTCCTCCTCCTCTTCTTCTACTTCTTCTACTTCTTCGTCAATACGAGGAGGACACTCAGGTCTATCTACTGATGGAGAGCCGCCCAGACTCTGCCCCTGAACATCCGGACGGAGCGTTACAAGCCATGGCTGGATGGTTACAACAGAGCAGACTGAAATTGAATCCATCGAAGACGGAGGTCCTGCACCTCGGTCGTGGGGGACTGGGACTGGGTACTGGGCTCACAGCCTTGGACGGAGCCCCGCTGGTGCCAATGCCGAAGGTAAAGAGCTTAGGGGTTTTCCTGGATGCCTCATCTGAGGCAGATCAGGCAGTTGGCCCCTTACCTCCCCACCTCCCCCCGCAATCTGGCTGCAGTGACACATGCAATGGTCACCTCCAGATTACATTATTGCAATTCTCTCTATGTGGGGCTTCCCTTGACTCTGCTCCGGAAGTTGCAGCTCGTGCAGGTGTTGACATCGTGGCCAGTGCAGGCACCTATCCGCCCAGTGCTGCGTGACCTGCACTGGCTGCCTATTTTATCTATCTATCTATCTATCTATCTATCTATCTATCTATCTATCTATCTATCTATCTATCCATCCATCCATCCATCCATCCATCCATCCATCCATCCATCCTTGGATTTATATCCCGCCCTACCCCGAAGGCTCAGGGTGGCTAACAAGGGCACAATATGCCAAGATTATAACAGTAAAAACACATAGTATAAAACAGTAAAATACAATATCAGGTTTACATACAAGTTTAAACAAAAATGGGTAGATCTTAAACCCAACGGTAGCTTCCCAAAATCTATCATCCGCTTCATGCTAGGGGCGCCCCCCCCCCAGTGGGATCCAGACAATCGTGGTAATAGTACGACGGTGCATAGATGGCAAAGGTGGAATAACAGTGGTGGCGGCCCCTACTCAAAGGCCTGGCGGAAGAGCTCCATCTTGCAGGCCCTGCGGAACTGAGAAAGGTCCCGCAGCACTTGAAACTGGATCTGTTTCAAGATATTGGCATTTACCTTTAAAGCCCTATAGGGTCAGGGGCCTGCATATCTTCGAGACTGCCACTCCCCATATGAGCCCCGTAGAACATTGCGTTCTATGAACCAGCACCTCCTGGTAGTCCCTGGCCCTAGGGATGTCCAACTTGCCTCTACTAGGGTCAGCGTGGAATGAGCTACCGTATGAGACGAAGGCCCTACGGGACCTATTACAGTTCCACAGGGCCTGAAAGACGGAGCTCTTCCGCTGGGCCTTTAGTTGAGGCAGCGGATATCCACTTTGATCTGGCCTCCCCTCCAGTGACCACAGATCCTAGAAGCCAGATTGGGACCACATTATCATCTGTTGAGGCGCACTGTTTTAATGCAGGTGATTTTAAAGATTTTAATGGATTTTAATTGTCAATCTGCACTTTTGTTGTTGTTGTTGTTCAGTCGCAGTCGAGTCCGACTCTTTGTGGCCCCATGGACCAGATCACGCCAGGCCTTCCGGTCTTCCGCCGTCCTCTGAAGTTTGCTCAATTTCATGTTCGTTGCATCTATGACATTATCTAACCATCTCCTCCTTTGCCATACCCGGTCTTCTTTGACCTTCAATCTTTCCCAGCATCAGGGTCTTCTTCTCTAGTGAGTGCTCCCTTCTCATTTGGTGGCCAAAGTATTTGAGCTTCAGTTTCATTATCTGGCCTTCCAGGGAACAGTCAGGGTTGATTACTTTTAGGATTGACTGATTTGATCTCCTTGCAGTCCAAGGGACTCTCAAGAGTCTTCTCCACTCTGCACTAATAGACCTATATGTTGGTACCCACCCTGGGTTTACTATGTGGGGAGGGTGGGGTATAAGTCTAATAAAATAAAAATAAGATGGCAGTGCTAAAACAAATCAAGCCCTTCCATTAGTTTGCCAGCGAATGACCTTCAACTAGTTCTGCAAAATGCTCCAGGTGGGACTTCAGTCAGCACAAATGGGCTCAGGAGCTGCACTGCAGGGACTGAGAGAATGTCTCTCTTACTACGTGCCTCTGATGCTCAGATGTTATGCACAAGTTCAAGGGGCTAGCTGAAAGGAAACTGGATGGTACCTTAGATAACCAGAACCCAGGATGCACTGGCCACAAGTTAGTGCGTACGCATTTATTGTAATCTGCTGATTAGAAGAGTTGAACCTCAAGCCAGGGTGATTACACCATCAGCTCCAGGAGAGGCAACCAAGAGTAGAATCCTGCAATTTTATTGTTCAAATAGATAAAAAGAGCTCTTCTATAAGCAGCTTTGAAACTGCTTTAGTGCCAGACTACAATGCCAATTCCTGGGTTTTTCTTAAGGCTTCAAATCAGCCACAAAAGGCAAAATGAGGAATTGACTGGAAGCTACAGCTAATAGCTGCAGGAGGGAAAGGAGAGGTGGGAGAGGTGATTTTGACAGAGGGGAAAGGGTTTAACTCAGGGGTGTCAAACTCATTTTTAATGAGGGCCGGACCTGACATAAATGAGACCTTGTTGGGCCGGGCCATGTGTGTCATAAAATTTCATGCCAGGTAGCGGAGATATAAACTTTATAAAGGACACGAACACAAAGGGCTTTTTAAAACTTAAAATAAAAACATGCTTAAAACATTAGCACTCTTGCAATATTTTGTTCATTTAGCACTCTTGCCCTGAATTATTGCATCAAGATGTCTGTGCTGTTGCCATCTTGAATATGCTGTTCAGGTGTGTATCTGTAAGCTGCAAACCTACGAAGACGCAGCGGCAGCAGAACTGGAAGAAGAAGCAGAAGACAGCCAGTTCCACTGCGGCCCTGGTAGAAGCCCTCCGGGGGCCTGATCCGGCCCCTGGATCGCATGTTTGACACCCCTGGTTTAACTGCCCGTCCCTCACTGCTGCTACGAAACCTTGAAAAGCCCGAGGAGGATCCAATCATTCATGAAACAAGTGGCTCAAGCCTTATACCAAATCAGAATATTGACTGTTGCCAGGGGTCATTTTGTAGAAAAAGTGGTGCAGGAGCTCATTAGCATAACTCATTAGCATAACTTATTTGCATATGTCACACCCCCTGACATCACTGGAAGTGTGTCAGAAGGCAACACCCACCACTCAGGCTCCACTGGACTGTTTTGGGTTGCTAGCTATTGGGGGGGGGGAGAAACGTGCAGATCTGTCCTCACAGAGGAGGGAGAGCTTGTACCTGAATAAAACTTAGTCTTAAAGGTGCCACTGGACTGTTTTGGACTGGGGGGGGGGCTCTGCAATTTACCTGGCTGCTTCTTGCTCTGACTGAGGGCTGCTGGGAGTAGGGGGTGGGGCTTGTAGCATGTTCCCACCCCTTGGGCTCTTTACTGCCGGAGCTCCGCTCCTGTGCGCTCCTGCAGGAAATGACCCCTGACTGTTGCTCTATCTAGCTCAATGCCACCTGGCAGAGGTCTTTCCCAGCCCTGCGACTAAAGGCCTTTAGACCAGAGGTGCCAGGGCTGGATCTGGAATCTAATGCATACAAAGCATGAGTTTTACCCTGTCTGTTTCTGATCGACAGT